CTTCCAGCCCAACAGGACCCACCAGCACGGTTGTGTGCCTCATGCTTCTTCCTGGGTTTCTCAGGAGAATGAGGCATTCACTCTAGTGTGAAACCATCGGGATGTGTGAAAAGTTAGGAACAGAAGGACTAAGAGGAAGAACCATTGCATGAGTCCTTGTGGTTTTTCCACGAGCTGTGTACGTGCACTGAATGCCATACACTGACCAGGTCAGCAGAAGTCTTCCTCATTCACACCTCCTGAATGAGAAAGAAACATACCCGACAAGGCACTCAAGGGACTCCAACAGAGAGGAGAGCCCCACATGATGGCCCTTTTCCACACTGGCTCCCCTTTGTGTACCACAAACCAGTTTTAAGTGTTGATAAGGCAGATCTCGAACTGCTGGTTCCAGCTGGTAGCCAAAGGATGACTCCGTTCCCCTGTGTCTCTTCCCTATACCCGACAAGGCACTCAAGGGACTCCAACAGAGAGGAGAGCCCCACATGATGGCCCTTTCCCACACTGGCTCCCCTTTGTGTACCACAAACCAGTTTTAAGTGTTGATAAGGCAGGTCTCGAACTGCTGGTTCCAGCTGGTAGCCAAAGGATGACTCCGTTCCCCTGTGTCTCTTCCCACTCCAATTTTGTCATTGAATAGAAACCTTTCATCCCTTGGGAATCTACTTCTCTCCTGACCCCTGGCCTGGTGACTTCAGAGAAAAGGTTCCCAAGTCTAATTCCCAAGCCCATAATTCCCGCCAATTGTGCACTCTGTCCAGGGTTCAAAAGGCGCTTCAAGGTGAGAAATCATTAGCACTGAAAACAAGGAAAGGCAAGAATTTTTCATAGAATCCCACAGCTCAGAGCAGCTCTTTAAGAGGAAAGGGAGTAAGAGGAGGGGGTGGGGGGACGGGAGGAAGCACAGCCTGTTCTCAATTTTATCCGAGAAAAGTCTTCAGTGGCTGCTGGGCCATGAGGCCCAGGAAACTAGACCAGGTATTAATTGTCTTTGGTCAATTTTAAATGAACATCTTGCTGGTTCATTCCTAAAATAGACTGAACATTGGTTATACATAAAGACAAAAGGTTTGACCTCAGGGTAAGTTGAAGGTTAAGAAATCACTCTGTGAAGCAAAAAAAAAATGCCCGTTATCAACTAACTGATAGTACAGCTCTCAGTAATGGTGATGAACAGGTAGGTAAACACCACTTTCCCTTGTACAACTGGTTATATTGAGGACTACTAACTAGGTTACTACATTCCCCACCCCACCCCCACTCACTGTACAGTTAGGTTTCTGGTATTTGTTTTTACATTGATCTATCTACTAGGTGCAAAGATTTGGTGAGTGGCATTGGCTATCGGTTAATCGTAGCCTTTTTAAAATTACAGTTTTACACTTTAACAGTGACTTCCCAGCATTTAAGCAAATATAGCAATATATAGTGGACCAAAACAGGCAGGAGTCAGGAAGAGAATGCCAACGCTCTATGAATGCTGATGGGATCGAGTGGCATGGAGGGTGACCAAGACATGCGTGGTGCCAGATGAGAAAGTGGCGGGCAAGAGGGGCAGGAAAGTATTTTTCCATTTGGTTCTGCGTCAAGGCTCGGATTTGGGGCTGGATGAGTGGGGATACATCTGCCATCTGTGTGTTCGTTTCCCTAAATGTGAACACATCAGCTGTTTCTCAGTGGAAAAAATGGGGACTTAAAGAAAAACAGCTCAGGCTCTGCCTTCCAATAATTCAGTGAAAGGCAGGTCCATTTTCAGTTAGGAAAAAATGAAATCAGCCAATTCAGAGAAAAATCGACATGGTCTGACCGGTGTTATGTATATTAGGCAACAGATTCGTCTACTCAAAGTTTTGCTTTTCGTCTAGTGGTCGTGGCAGAGAATGTTACATCTTGCCTGGGAGGCTACTGGATTTAAGGTCTGGGAGTGTCTCTGAAGTGGAATGAGAAGTCTTGTATCTTGGCTGGACAGCATAGAGTCCTTGCAAATAAATGACTTTCCAAGCCTGATGCAGTCCCCACTCTCAGCCGCCTGTCAAATCTTGGGCCAGTCACAGCACATCCCAAGGCCTTACTCTCCTGAGCTATAAAATGGAGGCATCCTTCTGCGCTCAAAGGCAGAGGGCCTTTCATAACCAGGAGCTACAAGAGAAGGGTGGGTTCTGGGCAAAACAAGGAAGGGCAAGCCTGTCCTTGGCCTCTCCCTGGCATTCTCTTTTTGTGCCTTTTCTCGACTCTACCTTCCATGGCGTGGTCTCAATGCCAGTCCTTCAGTCAATGGAGAGTGTCTTACCACACCCAGGTATCAGTGACTTACTAGGTCCCTCCCTGTGAGTGTATTTACCTTTTTACAGAGGACCAGAGGCCAGGGCAGAACGTAATCCAATGGGTTGAAATGCTAATGATGGAATTTCAGGCACCAGTAAGAGATGCGTCTGTACAGCTGTGCTTCAGGGCTCTGACTAAGCTGGTAGGAAAATTCCACTTCCCACTTCTCCAGTGCCATTAGGAGGTTTCAAAAAGAAGATCTGGATAGCTTTTAATCTAAAAGACTCACTTTACTAGTGGTAGTGACAGCAATCATGTTGCTATGACGCTTTCCAGTTTGCACAGCTCGCTCACTTGCATTTGATCTTGATTATGCTCATTTTATGGAGCAGAGAAGTGGGGCTCAGTGAGATGCAGTGACATGCCCAACGTCACACAGCTCTTAAGTGATGCGGGCTGGGACTCACACTCTGGACTTTGACTCTAAACCTCAGAGGCTTCGAAAGAGAGAAAAAAAGAGCAGATGCTGGGGACAACAGAAAAGAGACCCTGGGTTTGACATGAAGGGGAGAGGAAAAGTGGTCCCATTAGGATCAAATTCACCTGTGTTCCATTATCCAGAAACAGCCACCTCTGGAAAATGAAGAGATCAAAAGAGGAGAAAAAATGGAGTCAGAGGAGAGAGCCCCAGAAGGCCTTTTCCCAGCCAAGAGGCAAAACCTCATTATACTTGAAGATCGTTCACCCCTCTCTATCGCTGGTATTTTCAGCACATTAAATGCTCTGGAGGGAGTGGGGGAAGGGAACGGGAAAGGAGGGAAACTATTTCACTTGCATAAACTCAACTGGCAGTGTTCTCTAGGACAGAAAGTGCTGAGGATCGCCCCTCCTCGGCCCCCAGTCTGAACTGAGCACTTACGGCTCACGAGCTTCATGCAAGACGGCACCGGTCAGTGTGTGTCACGGTCACAGCCTGATTTTAAGTGAAAACGATGTGACTCAAAGCCTGCTCGCCTGTTTAGTTCCAAATCTGACACAGCATAATTAGTAGAATGAGGAAAAGAAAAAATAAACGTTTTGAAAATGGTGTAAGTTAAATCTCTATAGTTACCACAGATTTATTTCTACAGCATTTCTAGGTTTTGAAATATGCCACACCACTGTATTTATTTTTTCCTTTTTCCCCAACCACATGTAATACTGTGCTACAACGGGGCTTAGGTTCTCACTATCCCCTTTGTCTACATACAAACACAAGGATGCTGTGGACGGGGTCTTCTCGCCAACTTCCTCCCATGCCTTCGGGGGTACAGTTGGCCTTTGGCCTCCGGGTGGAAGGGCAGGGTCTCTGGGCTGGACGAGGGTTTTCTATCAAGGTTTCCCCACCTTGGAAAGCAGGAAGAGCCTGCTTGGGGTACCGCCTGCCCCACCCTTCCTTTAGGGGCAGACTTCTGGAAGGCCACGACTTCTGGAGACAGTGGGAGACTGTTTGTTTTTCTGCAGGTTAGTGGTATATTGCTTCATTCGCAGTTACTGTGGGCCTCTAAATTCTCCCAGAAAAGTCCCTGCAAATCCCACCAAATAACTCAGCAGGAGATGTTTGGTGGCATGGGTCTGAGGTAAATCTAAGTTTCATAAAAAGAAAAAGGAGATACTATATACATTTTAGTATGTGTGTGTCCGGATCTAGTATATGTATATAGATGCATAAATATATATATACACACACACACCTACAGACACATACATATATATGTGTATATATGCACATATATATTTACACACATATATACGTATGTAGACAGAATGTCGAGAGAGTAGTTTTCCAGTGACAATACGCAGGAGAAGCCACGCAGCATTTTGCCGCAATCTCAGGAAACGCTGTTGTGGGGGCTGCTCTTGCACCAGTGCTCCTCTGGGTGTCCACACATGGGAGGTCTATGGGATTCACATGGCTGAGTGTGAGCTGCGGCTAACACCTGGGCCTCAGCTCTGCACAGATACACCCTCCCGGGCCGACCTTCTGGTCTCTGCCCTGTGAGGCCAGGATCATTGGGAAGCAGGTGGAAGCTGAAAAGGCCACCCTCGGCCAGGGCGGTGCCACGCATCCAGCAGGTCACATGGTGCCCGATTTGTCCGCAGAGCTGTTGGGGAACATCTTCTCGGTGGGTGTCACAGCCGGACTGCCCACACCCGAGCTGCTGCTGCTGCTGGATCGATGCTGGACCACCGGCCGCACAGGTCGCATGGGGGGCGGGCGCAGCTGGGCACCAGCCAGGCGGGCGGACAGGGCTGGCTTGAAAGTGGTCATCATCTCGGTGGAGGAGTTGCTGCTGCGGCGCATGGCGGCATCGGGGTCACGGATGACGATGGTGTGCAGAGGGCTGGCGGGCTCCGAGCTGATGGGGCCTGGCGGGTTCTTCAGGGGCTCCAGGGTGTCCAGCACCACATCTGGAGCCTGCTTGACTGTGTTCTGCCTCTCAAGTTCCCGCAACTCGTGCAGAGCCGTGCTCATGGTCTTCTCGATGTCCTGGGGACAGAGAGAGCTCTAGTCAGCACAGTCTGGAGCCTGGAGTACTGTCCTCCCTCAGCTGCTACCAGCTCACGCACCTTCTTGGGGAGGTTTCCCAGGGAGCCTCATGGCCAGGATGGAGATTAAATCCCCAGGGTGTCTTATAACCAAAGGGGGGTATCCATGTGGGTATCCTCTGTACAGGAAGTCAACTTACTATGGGCAGGTCAGACTACTGGTAAGAGAGCAGGCTCTGGGGTCAGACAGACATGGGTTCAAATCCTGGCTCTGCCACTTCTTTGCTATGTGAACTTGGGCAAGTTACCTCATCTCTCTGAGCCTCCAGAATCCTCATTTATAAACTGCAGACAATTATAATACTGACCTCAAGGAGTTAATGAGTGTATTAAACAATATGGTCCCTGTGAAGAGCTTGGCGTGACACCTAGCACATAAGAAGCACTTAAAAATAATGATGACAATAACAACAGCAATAATAGCTAACACTGGGCACAGTCCGAACTCTGGCAACTAATAATTCATTTACTCCTCACACTTATAAGGTAGGAAGCAGCATTCAGCTCATATCACACATGAGGAAGCTGATGCTCAGAATGGTTAAGTCGCCCAAGGTCACACAGCTAATTAGCAGCATAGCCCAAGTCTGAATGCGGGCAGTTCAGTTTTTCTTTTAAGCCACGCCCATAGGAAAATTTCTCAGAGATTATATATCAGAATGTTTAAAATGTCCACCCCTGAATGGTGGGACTGCTCCTTCTCTGAATTATAATCAGAAAATTTTGTTTTTTTAAAAATGGAAATTTTAAAGAGCAAGAAAAATCTTCCGCCTATGTAATTTCCAAGGATGTTGGAATAGTTGAGAGCTTGCCAGTATGAAAGCACTTAGAATGGCACAGAGAGAGAGAGAGGGTGCCCAGGCCAGCCCGGAGCTGCTCATGGCACAGGCAGCTTCCCAGGGCATCTGTCCCCGTCACGCCAGAGGCGGCACGGCACTGGCAGGTGGCATTTAACCCAGGAGCCTTCAGACAGGTCCCGGGCCCCGGACTTCTGAGCAAAAAGACTCAGTGGCCACATGCCAGCTGTGGAACGTGGGCAAGGCTCAGCCCCTCGGCACCTGCTCCTCTGTGAAAAGCCCACACGTGAACCATGAGGATGGAATGAGACAATGACAGATGAGGTTCTGGCAACTGCCAGATGGTGGTTTTCAGACTCTTCACCAGAGCCCAGGTTCATGCGACTGTTCACAGGGACACCTCCACACCAAACAGTGCGGGGGAGCCACTTGCTGAGCAGGGCTAGACCCCCACAGCTTGGCTATCAAGGGCATAATGAGGGACAGCGCTTAAAACCACCACTGGCAGATGCCGCGCACAGCCTCACTGAGCAGTGATGACTGCTAAGACAAGCTTGCTCGTCCATAAATCCTGACGAAAATCCTGAAAAAAACGTATGTGTGGTGAGAATGATGGGGTTGGAGCCTGGAGATGCTGTCGCGCACAGCCTCACTGAGCAGTGATGACTGCTAAGACAAGCTTGCCCGTCCATAAATCCTGAGGAAAATCCTGAAAAAAACGTATGTGTGGTGAGAATGATGGGGTTGGAGCCTGGAGATGCTGTGGCCAGCCCCTGTCCCCACCTTAGTCCTCTACAGTCTCCCCTTCCCCATCTGCCCTGGCCCCGTGACAGTCTCCAATCTGGCCAGGGTCAGGGTCCCAGGCTCTTGCTCCCCTCACTGTCTTTTTACTTTGTTAAGGGGCTATCCATATCTGGCTAATGGCTAATAATTGGATTATCTTTTAGGCTTCCGCATGATATATCCTTATCCCCATAACACTGGCAACTTTAAGAAGGGGCCTTTTTGCCTTTATGCAAAAGGATTAGTTGTGGAGCTTTTCTGCAGGAAGGGAGAGATGGCAGCTCTCTCTCCAGCCCTGTAGTGACACAGCTTGTTTTCCACGTGTGGCCCTATCATTGCCCACACTGCTTGAATCAACTCCCCTCTTGACCTCACTACTCCCCCGATGCTCTAGCCCAGCATGAGCTGATAGGTGAAACTTTAATAAAATGTAATTATTGGCCCTCTACCACCATCCCCACCCCCACCACCACTCTACCTTGGCAAGTGTGAGCTGGAAAGACAGAAAGCTCAGAGACAGATCAGCTGAGTTGTTTAGGCTGGAGCCTTGCATTAGTCTGAGAGGTGATGCCAGAGTCTCCAGAGCAGAGCTGCGGAGAGGTGCTGGGGGGCGGATGGACAGAGTGGCGAAAACGGTTGCTTTTCACCTCCCCTGACGTGACATCTTCCCACTTTTGATGGCAGTCTTGCAGGTTTCCCCAAATAGCCTCTTTAACTGGGTCCATATCTAAATCCTAAAGGACATTTCGAGACCAGAGAATTTCGGGTAACCCCATCTACTACTTGGGATTGTCCATGCCACCACTTTCCTTTGTAGCCTGAGAAGTAAAGTGCTCATCAGGGCCAATGCTAGGCAGGCTGGGGGCTGCCCCGTGTCTCCCTGGCTACTTACATATCGTTTGCCAGGCTTTGCTATTTTACCTCTGACTGTGAAAGGAGCTCTCAAGTGGCTGCTATCAAATTAGAGAGTGTGTAGATATCTCTGCAAACTGAGAACACATGCAGCAGTCCCCAGATGTATTCTTTGGGTTGGTCTTTACAAAATGCTCTGTGAATAAAGGTCAAAGAAGTCTGGGAGATGGGACTGGGGGAGCCCCATTCTCTTTCTTGGAGATTCACATGAACATCAACATATTTAAAAGTTCTCAAAAGTCTTGCAGATAAACCATTCAACTTTGTCAGACCAGCATTCCCCCAACTTTGCTGCCCACAGAACACTTTTTTCCCCCATTAATGAATCTCCATAATGCATTAATGGGATCATGGACCTAGTCTGCTATGGGACCTATTTTTGGAAACAGACTGCATTTGATTCCTTATGTGAAAGACTCAGACAGCCCACCCCCATCATGGCCCTTGGTAGAGTTTCCAAAGGATGGTAGATGCTGGGGTGATGTTCCCATGAGGGTGGCCTTCAGGAATGGAGGAGCTAGCAGGCTGTCTGGCTCTTCTGCTGGACCCATACCAAGATGCCCATCTTCAGGGATCCATTGGGGGTGGGCATCAGGACATGGGGCCAAGCTAGACTCTACGAGAGAGAAGAGGCGTTCTGGCTGCCGGGTGAGTTGTTTCTCTGTTGGGTACTCCCTTAGATGCTTTCCTGGCCTCCTCTAGAACACAGCCCACAAGCTCACAACCTCTCCCTTTCTCCTTCTGAACAGGGATTCAAATGCCACTCTTCACAAGAGCATTACAAGAGCCCAGAAGTTTCTGGTTGTCTCTCTTACCTTAAGTGGGAGATAACTTTGAGGAGGCAGGGGCCACCCCAATTTCCAGAGAGGAAAAAATGGAAACTTGGAAATATGATAGAACTGTCGAAAACATGTGGAACCGGTTATGCAAACTGCTAAACAAGTCACAGTTCTATTTGTTTAGCAAGTATAAAAATCATATGGATTTCTCATCCAAATAGAAAAAATAAATTAAAAAACCAAAAAAACTCTTAAGCACTTTGGAAGGGCCTGGAATATTCTGCCCTTTCAGCTTCAGCAAGTTAGTACTTCACCCTTTGGGTCTCAGGACATGTCCTCCCCCAGGAAGCCTCTCCCTGCCTAGGTGCAATCACCACATCTTTGTTTCTCAAAATACCATGTACCACTCCTTAAAGGCACCTGACCCAACTGCCACTTCATGAGCTATGTGTGTATATTGGTTGATATCTCTCTCTTCTCTAAACTGAAAGCTCCATGTGGGCAGGGTCTCAATCCACTTTAGGTTTTCATTGTATTTTCAGTGTCTAGCATTGTGATTATCACACAACGGATGCTCAATCAACACGTCAGTAAATGG